TCGGCGCCCTTCTGGAGAATTTGTCCTGTAGCCTCGGGAAAAGCTCACCGTCGGCGGCCTCGATGGCATCGTCGGAGCCCTAGTGCAATTCTCCACATTTTGGTCCTTTTTGCTCGAAATTCGCTCCTTTTTGCATCTTTTAGCTCCATTAACCCTAATTCATCATTCCGGCAACAAAACATCAAAAATACCTTTCTTTAAAGTGCAATATCATTAAAAAAAGTATAAAAGAGGTATGAAAATCTCAACCTATTTTCTTTTGGTCATCAATATGCACTAAAAACAGTTTATTTGACTTCACCATTAACCCACCTTTGAAATAAGACTTTCTTTTGCTTTTCATGTACACAATATTCAAAAAAATCAAAATGTGCAAATTTCAACCCAAAAGTTTATTCTTCGGAAGTAGGGACTTCATACATGCATCCATCTTGATTCCAACCACTTCAATGAATTTTTTCATTTCATTAATATGGTAAAGTGTGCCATTAATGTTGTTCTGAGCTATCATCATTGCCCTCTGGTCACCTTCCACAAGTCACATGTGAAAGTAGTCAGGTACCCTAACTTTAACAGCTTGCTCACAGAGATCAAATTTCTCTTCAGACATGAAACATGTCGCACTTCATTGAGCTTTCAGACTAGTCTATTTGACACTTGATATCCATGTCACTTTTTCTTATGATATTGTATGCCTTATTATCTCTCAAATAAACTTTCTCTAAATCATTATGAGTGTAATTTTTAAACACCTCTTTTGTTGAGGCAAGCATGAAAAGATGCTTCTAAATTTAATATCCAAGATTGAATACTAACTAGGGATAAAACCAGGGAGTCACCTTGAACTTTTCCAATGGAGACATATGTAGGAGATTCCTTTCTTTTTCTTCACCACCAGACTTCATATGGAACTTTATAGTCCTTTTTAAAATTTTATTTCATTCCATAATTTTAATATTATGCTCTATTATTTTCTCTATTTGACTTGAACTTTTCTCTTCTGGACTTGAATTTGTCTCTGCATGTATTTATGTATATATTCATTCTCATATTTTCAACATTCGATGCAGAACTTGAAGATTCAACAATTGCTGCCTTCCTACAAACTTCTTCATTCAGTACTAACCCATGATGCTATTGAAGTTCAATTTCATATTCGCAGAAGAGTTAACACAACGACCAAACCATCATAACTGTTAAGTAATGATGACAGAATTAGCAATACTTTGGCCTCATCATCAAAGTTGATCCCAACATAACACAACCGGCTAGTCACAAAATTAATATTCTTCAAGTGTTCAACCATTAAATTGCATTCTGTCATCTTCATTTTCAATAACATATTCATCAAAAAAATCTTATTAAATCAGAAGATTTTTCATACTTTTTTGTCAGTGCTGCCATGAGATCTATCATGGTTTTCTCATTCAATATTATGAATGAAACAAAAGTGCCAAATGGATCAAACCTAGAGTCATTTGATATGACACTTCTCATTCCTCCATAGTCATCGGTTAAGGCTTCTTAGTGATTCCTTGTAGTAGCCGATATAACTTTTTTCTGAAACAACAAATCCTTCATTTACATCCTTCAAAATACGAAGTTTGATTCATTGAATGAATGTCTTAATTTTGTATCTCGCTTGTATGTCATTGCTCATACTCGAAACTAATGACACTTATGCACTGAGGGTTTTAATTTGTTCACAATCTAAAACACACCACGAAAAATTTGGAACATCGATTAAAAAAAATTCAAAACAAAAGAAATCAAATAGAACCACAACAAAGTAATCTAAGAAAAGAACACAAGCATATATGTGGAAAACCCGTGAATGAGAAAAATCCACGGATTGAGACCACACAAAATTCAACTATGAATGGGATAAATGTAGAGTTACACACTTAAATAATCACTCTATAATCACTAGAACTTACAAAACTTTGCTTCAAATCCCCCTTTCAATCTCACATGAGAAAGCCCTAACACCGAAATCACCCTCCAATCAATTCAACTTCACGAAGAGCTCCAGTCCAGATACACCACACGTGAGAGAGATAGATCCTTTGTCAGTTAAATCAAAACTAAAGAACTAAAATTAGAAGAGAAATTGTCCCTGCTATTCCTAGCGTAATTATTCAAAACGCTCGGTTCCGCAACATGGAACCCATAAAGCCGCGAAATAACCATGCCCATAGTTAGTGCTCCTTGGGGTTAAAAGCTCCACACTCCACCAGAGGTTAAAAAGGATAATGAGCTAACCATCCATTTAATAAAGCAAATTTATTAAAAATTCTAAAAAAAATGGTTGTATGAAGAAGAACTTGTTAAAAAGGAATAAATTAAACTGCGGATTCGCTTAAAATTTCATCTGAGAAGTAACTACTCTTCACTAGTCATTGCTAGTTCGTTATTGTATAATTTTTGTATCAAAAGACATCCTTCAAGTAATACAATACGAATTAATTTATGTATTATAAATTCCATTATGTTATTCGCAAACCACTATTTTTTCTTATATTTATTCATTTACTTTAAGTAGTAACACTATAATTTTTATTAATGATTATAAATAAAATTCCTTATATGCAAAAATTAGCGAATTTTGCTATTTTCATTTCCATCAGTGCAAATGCGATGGGAGGACATACAATCTTTGCAATGATTAATTAGACCTTCCATCATGCCTCACATTGTTCAGTTGGCATTGTTATTTAAAATTTATCTTCAACACTTATTATGTAAGTTAAAGTGTTTTCTAGTACAAATAAATTGTTTATTTGCAAAATATTTATCCAAGAACTATTTTTTTATGCAACAGTTTTCATCTTATCAACATTTTACAACACAAAATGTTACAATCGAACAATTGCAATCAACATCAAAGCTACAAAAAAACAACTTAGAAACTAAACCCGACAGTTGGAAAATGCAGGAGACTGAAACAACACATTTAGTGCAACATCCTCAAGAACTAATAGTTTATACGGGCATTTACATGCATACCAACAAATTCCTATGTATTTACATTTCTAACACCTAAACATTACTTTTTACATTTATACCACTCAAATCTTCCATATTACTTCAAAAATATAGTTATTTGACTTTTAAAAGGTAAAATATGCTGGATATAATGGGATATAAATAAAAATCAGAGGTTGGGTGTCAGATATGTAAATGCATGAGTAGTATCATGTAACTAGTTTATATGAAGATTCTACAATCTGGATCGTTTGTGCGTCGCAGAAGAAAGTATATGGCTCTTGTTCAAGGATGAGATTGGTCTGATGTCCCAGTCTTCAATGTTCTTCAGGACACAGACATCGAAATGAGTCCGGCTAAGAATACCATGGGGTTCAATGCTTCGAAGCTGGAGAAGCGCTCTCTTATGCTCATCAATCAACCAATCTTCATTGCCGGTATCACCAAACTCAATCGAGCTTGACAATAAGAAATGGTCACTCGGGCCAATGGCGGCAGCGGCAGTGGCAGCCGTCCTTTTGAGGCGCTCGGTAGAGCCGTCGTCTGTGTTGTTGGAATTGCACGACGAATCTGGTATCTTATACGAAGCTTGACTGAGTTGCCTTGTTCTATTAAAATTGAGAGAAGCCTTGGCAAGCAACTCAGTTACAGCAGCTGTGTATTCGGCTTTATGGTATCTGTAATGAGCTACAAAAGCGACCACCACAACAAAATGGAATATTAATAGTTAGTGAGATGAATTTAATTCAATTAATTCATCGATGTTGTTTAAGAGCATTCTAGTCAAAGAAATTTAGAAAGACATTAAGGTCCCCACTGCATGGGTGAAATTGATCCTTTTGGGCTTAACATGATTATCATGATATTGTCAAGAAGTCAACCACCAGATTCATGAAATAATGAGTTGCTCGCAAGCACGCAAGTGCTAGAATTACAAAACAGTTATTCTGTACATGCAACATAAACAAGATCCAGCAATTTCTCCAAAAAAGAAAAAGCATCTATAATTCGCAGGATTCTTCACTGACAAAAGCTGAGACAAGAAAATGTTCACGATAGAAATATATACAAACGAGCATAAAGTGAGCTCCAAAACACAATATGTAGTTGACATAAGCATAAGATTATGCAACGACAACTAAATCTTCTACGACTGATATAATTATAATAATTAAAATACATATACGACATAAAAGAAGGATTTGCATACATACCACTCAATTCTTATCTGTTTACATATCTAACACCTAAACTTCATTTTTTACATATATACCGCCTTATCTATGCATAAAAATGTATATTTCACTCTTAGAAAGTTAAAACAATGATTTATTTTGATTTGATATGAAAATTTTCGGTTCTATAAATCTACAATAAAAATACAATATACAACATTAACAACGAGCATTTCTCTCACTAAGTGGTGTCGGCTACATGAATCCATTTTCTCCTGTGTCCTATTAAGTGTCATTTTCAGTTCTTTCAATAACTTTAGGTCATTTGTTATACAACATACCAAAGTCTTTTTAGGTCTACCTCTACCTTTCATAACATAATCAAATTTAAAGCATGTACTATCCTGACTATTGCATAAAATGAAAATATGCGTGGGGAAAGGATTGGAGCCGACTTCTCTAATCTTGTTTGTCACTGGAGCTACTCATTCACCTGAGCATTCTCATCTCAACAACACTTAACTAATTCTATGCTTCCTTTTTACCGGCCAACATTGTGCGCCATAAAGCATTGAAGGTTTCACCACAATCTTATAAAATATTCCTTTAACCCTAAGCGGTAATTTTCTATAAGCCAATAGGTCTGATGCATTCCTCCGGTTCAACCTTTCCTCATAAATTTTACCAATAACATCCCCATCTATATCACCATCACATTGAACAAAATATCCGAGATATCTAAAACATTCACTCCATAAGTGGTATAAATGCAAACAAAAAAAAAAGGTGTTATGAAAATACATACGAATGAGGTGATATGTATGTAAATGCCATTAAATAAAAAGGAGTTTTTTTCAGTAATCTTAATTCACTACTTAGCTCGGAAAAAGCTAGCAATGAGGAGAGCACGTGTGCACAAATACATGAGGCTTAGGGTTACTTCTTTACTGTAATCTTAATTCAGTAGTTAGCTTGGAAAAAGCTCGCAAAGAGGAGGGCGCATGTGGACAAATACATACATACATATATATTTGATAATCACAACTATATTTGTTTAAATAACATATATTGCAGATGTTTAGTGTTGTTATATTTTGTTTTGCTAAATCTAATTGATGTTTTCTTTTTTCTGCTTTGGTGTTGTATCTAATTTTATATCCTAAAAATTCGTTTTTTATATAATCTTCATAAATAATTGGTCATTTGCTAGGTGTACCCATAATTCTCTCTCTTAAACAAGTTTCTCTAATATTTTGCTTTTGATCATCTTTTAGTCCAAGAACCATTTTTTGACGATTCCAGCAAGTGTATTTTTTAAGAATCCAAAAACATCTTTTATATTATAGTTATATATATCTTAGCTATTTTCTATTACCCATTGATCAATTATTTTATTAATATTTTTACTACAATCAATGTTTAAATAAATACGTATATTTTCTTGATTTCTAGTTTCCGTTTTATTAGATCTAAACGTATGAATATGTTTAATGCTAAGAGGCAAGTAACGAAGATAAGAACATGTATTTTGACTTGTACTAGCCTCATTTATTTTTTATGTAGAAAGTAATCTTATAGGACGATTATTGGACGAGGAAGAAGTATCAACTGATGAGTAATTAACGGAAGTAGTCAAACATTAATTAAATCTTTTATCTCATTCTTAGAAGGAGATGGTTCGTCTACTGAAATAATTTTGTTGATACGTATGACTCATTGTATATTTCTTGAAAAGCTATATTTATTTGTCCAACCTAAAATTTCTGGGTTGGCTGTGAATTTTTCTAAATTACAACATGCAGCAAGAATAACAGCAGTAGCTATATTACTATTTAGTACTTGCTGGTTTTGAATAAATCTTATTCCTAGTTCATGTATATTAAAAGTAATTTCTCTATTTGCCAACTTTTTATATCTAGATTGAATTATATTTTTGAAAAGTTTGATTTTTTCTAAGTGATTTTGGTATAATTCTATATTCCTTAGATATAATTTCAGAGTATAGTCCTAATTCAACTTGTTTCAAAATCAACAACTTATTATAATCCACTCATTTGAATTTCCCAATGGAGATTTATATGAAAGATTTATTCTTTTTGAAATACTTCTAATTGTTTATTTATATATTTATTTAAAGTAATTCACAAATTATGTTAAATTCTTGTTCGAGATAGAACTTATTCAACATTGAATTGTCAGAAATGCTTTCTCTAAGTTCTTCTAGAAGTAATTGCCCTTTTAGCTCTTATTCTTCTCTCATTTCGGATTCATAAAAAGAAAAATTAGATGCATAGTTCATGAATGTATACAAAAGCGATTAATATCTTTTGGACATGTATACATATCGGCCTATTGATCGTCAAGCTCTGAAACCATTTTATAGGCCTTCGATGGTGTAGATGATTCAGAAATTTTTATTGTTTTGTACTCAGGATAATTCTCCAAAGACAATTTATATCACTCAACATGTAATACTATCATGCATCACTATAAGCATTCGTATCAAGATGACCGATAAAATTTAATAATAGAAAAATCAATTTCATTAATCAAGCATAAATAACAATTCATACAATTGATTTAGGAGAGATACTAAAATCATATTGAAATTAATAGTACGAGTAGTCACATCGATGTCGATTAATTTGCCTTGATGTCGACTTTTCTAAAATAGGAAGTCTAACACATTATAAAATTTAATTAATTTAATATTTTAATAAACTATTAGTTTTTCATTATATATATATATATATATATATCTTATAATAATAATAATAATAATAATAATTATTGTTATTATTATTATTAAATCACTTAAATAAGCACTCCTTACCTCTTATGTGGAAGAGTGGATGACGGATTCCCTTCGTCTCTTCCTCGACACCAAGGCAACTTCTCGCGAAAGAACAGAAACCACACGGCTGTTCATCTTTTGCAAGGGCTCTTGAGGAGACGCCTTCTTTTTCCTCTCCTATGGTCATCACCAAAGCAGTCACCTCTGCTCGATAGAGACGCCACCTCAGATCTAATTCTCAAGTTGTCCTCCCTTTCACACGTTGCTCAAATTACCACACCGCCACCCTCTTCCCCAAGCTTTCTCATCATCGGTTGAGCAAAAGCACTAAATGCTCGTGAGCACAGCATCACTAGCTCGTCTCGGCCTAGTGCAGCTACCTCTTCTTCTCCTTTGGCTTGATGGCATGAGATCGAGTTTCACTATTTGATTCCACGGGTAAGCTAACTGCGATGTTTTATTGGCGAAAATCACCTCTTCGACTTCTCGAACTCTCGTTTTTGTTTGTTCCCTTCGGTTGCCCGACTCCTCATTTCCTCTCCTCGGCTTCAGTTTCCAACTACCCACATGTCGGTCAACGTTTTGATAAAGTTGAAAATATGAATATGAAAATAATTTTAAAATTTAATTTAAATAGAAGAGATATATAATTTAGGTTTTTAAAAAATGAGACCAAATGGATCTCATTAGTCCAATAGTTTGCATAATCGTGCCCGATATCGCGAATATTACACCCTCCCGAAAGATGAGTGTATACATCGGCGATAGACCCAAACCTGCAAACTAAGAGATTGGTGACATTCATTTGGTCTGCGAACCTTTTATATGTGACCAACAAATTCTCCTATTTAATACAAAGATTAAATAGGGTTTATTTTACCTGGGTTCCAAATTCCCTATAGAGACAAGCCCCTATAGTTAATTACATCCCAAGTGACGGAAGTCACTTGAGAAAACTCGTGATAATGATCATCGGTTCTAGTCTTCAAGAATTCAAAGTTTAGGTTTTCGAAAAACAAGTGGAAGTGACTCAAGTGAGAACAATCCTTTCAGGAGTCCAAAGGAAGTAAAGGGTAGGGGATGACAAAGATCATGAGGGGAATCATCAGTGACTTCCCAAACTATCCTACTGTGTGGCTGTGTTTTAGAGAGAATTTTATTTGAATGTTGAATCTTGTCAATTTTATTATTTGGGACTTACAATTGCATAATAACTGGTTATGCAAATAGCCTGCAAAGATAAGAGGTTTTACGTCGTTTTGGACGACAACCTCGAAACCTAAAGTGAGTTAGGACTTACGCTACACAACGTGGTTGTGCAGGGGCCTAAAGGAGGGTGAGGAATTACGTCGCGCTAGGCGAGCTACCTCGAAGTTCTATGAGTTGTTTAAACTAGGAAAGTGATTGTTGAAGAAGATCCTCTTGCTGCTTGGTCTGAGTTCCTCGTCATGCTGCCCACTAATTTAGCTCTGAACCTTCTGTCGTCGTGATAGCTCTAGGGTTTGAGTGTTTGAGATTGGTGGTTTATGCTTCACAGTTTTAGTATTAAAGTTTGGTTTTGTTTTGTTTCGATTTTAGTTTTGCATGAAGAATAAACAAATTGTAGGTAAATAAAAGATATTTGAAAAGTAAAATGCAGTAAAGTAAAATGCTGTAGATAAACTGTAAAAGTATACTTGAGCATCTGTTACTGTTGCGTTATTAGTGTTGCGATCGTA